TTAGGCCTAGGGTTAGCATTTATGTTAGGCTTATCTTTAGGGTAATGGATAGGGTTAGAGCTAAGATTAGGGCTAGGGTTAAAGTTAGGGTAAGGGCTAGGGTTAGAATAAGTGTTACCGTTTTAGCTAGCCTTAAGTCTAGGGCGAGGCTTAGAGTTTTGGTTAGGTCTAGGGTTACTGTTAGGGTTACAATTAGGACTAGGTATAGGGATAGGATAATGGCTAGGTTTTTTGTGTGAGGTTTATGGCTAGCATTAGGGCTATGGGTAATGTAAGACCCAGGGTTATATTTATGGCTAGTTTTAGGGTTAGTGTTATGGATCAGTCTAGTTTAGGGTTAGGTTTTGGTTTAGGATAAGATTTAGAGCTAGTGTTTGTGTTAGGGTAAGGGTCATTGTTCAGGTTAGGGTTAGGTTTAGGGTTAGGGCCAGAATTAGGGTTTCGTTGGTTGTAGGGATAGGGTTAGTCTTTGTGTTAGGTTAAGGGTTATTGTTAGGGATAGTGCTACATTTTTGTTTAGGGCTATTGCTAGATTTATGACTCTATTTAGGATAAGGTTTGGTCTATAGCTAGTGTTAGGGTTAGACTTAGGTATAGTCTTACAGGTAGGGGTACTGTTAGGGTTTGGTTTAGGTTTAGGGTCAGGTATAGACCTAGGGTTAATGTTAGGGTCAGAATAAGTGTCAGTGTTAGGGTTAGAGTTTGGGTTAGGGTTAGAGGTAGAATGAGGGCTACGGTTAGGACTAGTATTCTAATTAGGGTTTGGGGTAGGCTAAGGATTAGAGTTAGGACTAGGGTAGCATTAGGGTGAGGCTTTGGCTTAGGGAAAGGGATAGGTTTAGAGGTAGGGTTAGGTTTAGGGCTAGGGTTGTGGTTAGGGTTAGGGTTAAACCTAGGGTTAGGACTAGAATTAGGCATATGATTTTTGTTCGCATTAGGATTACAGCTAATGTAAGAACTAGGTTTCCCATTATAGCTAGTTTTAGGGTTAGTGTTAGGACGATGTTTAGAGATAGGGTTAGTGTTAGGGTCAGAATCAGTGTCAGGGTTATTTCTAGAATTAGGGTTAGGACTCACATTAGGGCTAGATTTAGGGCTAGGTGTAAATTTAGTGTTTGGTTTAGGTTAAGGGTTATGGTTATGGTTATGGCTCAGTTTTGTTTTAGGGCTGGGGTAGGGTAAGGGCTAGTGTTCCAATTAGCATTAAGGTTAGGGTTAGTGTTAGGGTGAGGTTTATGCTTAAATTTAGGGTTAGATCCAGGTTTAGTGCTAGGTGGAAGGATAGGGCTAGGGTTGGGTCTAGGGATAGGCTAGATTTGGGTTATGGAAAGGGATAGGTTTAGAACTAGGGATAGGGCTTGG